GTAAAAGATGTAGAATTTCACTGTTTTGTTTGAGGTTTTTTGCCTTAACATTCATTTTTAACACTATTCTTTTGTTGTATATGATTGTATTGTTTATTAAGTTTTTAACTGTTATGTATTTTTTGTTTTTTTTGGCGGTTACCTTGACCAAGAAATTTCAGTCCTTATGGAGCCTTCTTGTTACCTGATGGTATATAAATAAATAAGTACATGAAATAAATTAATTAATTAGTATGACACTACTTAACCAGCCCTTTTACTATTTCTTTTTGCAAGTCTGACATGGAACAGTTACATAACCAATATCATTGGCAAAAGGAGCCGACAGCATTCATCCAAATACATAACACCTAGCAATAGGTTTTTACCAAGGAGAATATAAGAGCAATGCAAACCAACCTGCACATTCATCAATATCTTTATCCTCAAATATGGTTATTGCACTTTGTAGGAGAAGTTCAATGGAGTCGTGTCAGAAGCAGTTAGGGTTTTGTGGGAGTGATGCGCTGCAGCACTGCTTGATCCTGCTGATTTGCCTGGTAACGCATCATGACTAAATCCATGAAATTCTACAATATATGGCTGTAAATTATGTGTTTACCACAAAGTAAACACGTTTTATTCACAGCTTGAGTCTGTAAAATAAGAGATGCAGTGCTCACTGCCAACTCTGCCCTTCTTGTGGCATATTTATAGACGTTTTGAGTGAAGTATTTCACTCTAAGTGCTACTGATTAATTCATATATTCCTTTTTCTATTGTCACTGTCGCATTAAATAAATCTTGATGTATTTTTGTGTCTGGTGTCTCCTGTTTTTAAGGGTCTTTAGTGGAGCTGTTGGAAAGCAATTCTCCACAGGCATCACTGAGTCATCAAGCAAAAAATGAAGAAAGGAGAAAACAGTGGTCTATGTTTGCACTAAATTGTTTGACTGAGGCAATTGTCCTTGGACTACCAACTGTAGTCAGAGTAAACCTTAGCTAAATGCAGTAAACAAATTAGAATGCAGGCATCTAATTTGCAAGCAACAATGATCAGATAACCAGAAAATCCTTGAGCGATCGCTGCTACCTGCTACACTATATATTTCTAGAGGACTAAAAAGAGTGGAGGACATAGTCTCTCTTACACATCCATGTGGGTTGATATTTCCATACCACTTGTCTTTTCCTGCTAACAAACCACAAGGGGATTGGGTTTGAGACAGACCGTGATCCTCGATATGCAACCTGCTACTGCTCCTGGTCTTGTGGAGGTAATTTTGATACGGCTGTCAGACAGTGGAGATGATACAGATGCAAATATGGGGTACATGAGCCAAGCGGATTACTGTGCTGAAAGAATGCGGGAGAAAACAGGATATTTCTTCAAGGGTACATTTTGGTGAAAAATGTTAATCTAAAACAGCTTTTAAAAGCGGCTTTAACACCATTCCTTTTCACAAATTATACACGGATAACTAAACTTCTTACCCTAACTTTGTTATGGAAACATTATATAACTGGAATTAACATAGATTTTTGCCTTTTAAACATTTTAAAACCGACCTTTCTTTTGCAGAAACTCCTACAAATATCAAATCATTATATACAACAATATACTGTATATACACTATATTGCCAAAAGTATTTGCTCACCTGCCTTAACTCACATATGAGCTTAAGTGACATCCCGTTCCTAATCCATAGGGTTCAATATGACGTCGGTCCACCCTTTGCAGCTAGAACAGCTTCAACTCTTCTGGGAAGGCTGTCCACAAGGTTTAGGAGTGTGTTTATGGGAATTTTTGACCATTCTTCCAGAAGCGCATTTGTGAGGTCGCACACTGATGTTGGACGAGAAGGCCTGGCTCTCAGTCTCCGCTCTAATTCATCCCAAAGGTGTTCTATCGGGTTGAGGTCAGGACTCTGTGCAGGCCAGTCAAGTTCATCCACACCAGACTCTGTCATCCATGTCTTTATGGACCTTGCTTTGTGCACTGGTGCACAGTCATGTTGGAAGAGGAAGGGGCCAGCTCCAAACTGTTCCCACAAAGTTGGGAGCATGGAATTGTCCAAAATGTCTTGGTATGCTGAAGCATTCAGAGTTCCTTTCACTGGAACTAAGGGGCCAAGCCCAGCTCCTGAAAAACAACCTCACACCATAATCCCCCCTCCACCAAACTTTACACTTGGCACAATGCAGTCAGACAAGTACCGTTCTCCTGGCAACCGCCAAACCCAGACCCGTCCATCAGATTGCCAGATGGAGAAGCGCGATTCGTCACTCCAGAGAACGCGTCTCCACTGCTCTAGAGTCCAGTGGCGGCGTGCTTTACACCACCGCATCCGACGCTTTGCATTGCACTTGGTGATGTATGGCTTGGATGCAGCTGCTCGACCATGGAAACCCATTCCATGAAGCTCTCTGCGCACTGTTCTTGAGCTAATCTGAAGGCCACATGAAGTTTGGAGGTCTGTAGTGATTGACTCTGCAGAAAGTTGGCGACCTCTTCGCACTATGCGCGTCAGCATCCGCTGACCCCGCTCCGTCAGTTTACGTGGCCTACCACTTCGTGGCTGAGTTGCTGTCGTTCCCAAACACTTCCATTTTCTTATAATACAGCTGACAGTTGACTGTGGAATATTTAGGAGCGAGGAAATTTCACGACTGGATTTGTTGCACAGGTGGCATCCTATCACAGTTCCACGCTGGAATTCACTGAGCTCCTGAGAGCGACCCATTCTTTCACAAATGTTTGTAAAAACAGTCTGCATGCCTAGGTGCTTGAATTTATACACCTGTGGCCATGGAAGTGATTGGAACACCTGATTCCAATAATTTGGATGGGTGAGCAAATACTTTTGGCAATATAGTGTATGTCGGAACTAATTGAATATATTCTTTTATTTTTCAGAGTATTTGATTGAAACAACTCTTTTTTTCAGATGTCAGTAGATCAAAAAGCAGTTTCTTAACAATGCAACCAGCAGGAAGGCTTGTGTGATTTTGACAATATAGTGATGAAGAGTAACACCTTTTTTTTCTTCTATTATCATTCTAAATATATATTATATTCCCTGAACAATATAATGACCAAGTATTTCTCCACAATCCAGCATCTAAAGCATACTACCCCACTACTTTTATTACCTGTGTACGTTTTAGCTCAGAGGTACGCCAAAAATCTAAGACAAAAAACTTGCGGCACACTCACCACATCTCTAGCATGGACGGAGCTCAACTGACATTGCACTACAGTACATTACAGTGGAGACAATCAAAAACATAAACACAAGTATCTTTTTTGCAATTTTGCATGGCTAAAGGTAAAAATATGTCCAAATATAATTCAAGTAACAAAAAGAAAGCAATTGTGCAGTTAGTTCTTGCAAGTTAGATCTAATCCATGTCCTCTGCACAATAATAATCCCATAAATTATTTTGGTTTTCTTTTCTTCTCTTTTGCAGTATGCATTTAAGTATAGTTCACTTTATTATCTTTAAGAAGCAGAATAACCAGAAAATCTGCCTTTAATTCTGCTGTCGAGCAAATGATTTTTAAATCATTAACTGGGAAGCGAGGAAGAGAAGAAACTGAAGAATTTAATATATGCAGACATATTGCACATTGAGCAGGATGCTGAAAAGACGAACATTCAATAGCAGTCTCAAGACTATACAAAGCACCATTGAAATGTGTTCATGTCTACAGCAGAAGAAGAATTAAATGTCCCTGAACCGAAGTCATGGAGAGACAGCTCAGACTCAGCAGCGTGGGCTTCGACTTAGCAAGGCCATCTTATATAATAGAGGAAAATCCATGCCTGTATTTGCCTGTCTGCATAGGCCCAAACAAAGATGGCTGCAGAGCCTGACGGAGGTCCTACACGTTCAGAGACACAATCAATAATATGATTACATACCGTATACTTCTATAAATCTGACATAGACAGCATGGAAACACATACTGGTGTGTTTTTCATGGTGTTAAACATGCCTCCACTTATTTCCCTTATACAAGCCTTTCAGCAGAAGGACAAACCTATGTGACAGAACATAACTGGAGTTTGAAAGGTCTCTTGGTCAATCAAATTAAGTTATATTTATTTTATGCTGAAAACATTGTACTAACCGTGTCATCAAAGGTGACAGTTCTAAACCTTATTTAAACTATCTGACTAATAATATTTGACAGATTATGTCCTCAAGCTAAACTAACTGAGGTCCCACACCAGGCCACCAATTGGCATTTCAAGACCATTCCTAAATCATTGTTCCCTTTCTGCACTGTACAGTTACCTGCCGAAGAAGGCTGCAGTCATCAGAGAGGCCATTTGCACCCTTCCTAGTCTGGGAGCAATGCATCTCGACATGCTGTGGTGTTTTGTATTCTGATACAGAACAGGGAATCCCTCTGAAAGACATACAAAAAAACCTGTTCTGACTTTGGATACCAATGCTCATCTACACTACACCCTTGACCCTGTTGGTAGTTTGAACAAATACTGACCCCTGAAAACTAGGAGCAAGCAAAAAGAAATTCAGTTCATAAAATTGTTAACCACCATGATCTAGCCCATGTCAAACTCTCTCAAATCCCTACACTTGCCAACCTTTCCTTTTCTAACACAGTAATGTGTCGTATAATATACCCAATAATCAGTTACCTACCTAAAGGCCATTTTCAGCCTTATTGCTTTGTTATTACATATCCTCACAGTAAAGTTGAATATAGCAAATTACTTAAGACTTTTTTGCGGCCCAGCAAGCTGTATATATAAAAAACATCTTCGGAATATGATTTGATCATCTGTTGGTATGAAACAATCTAGAGTAGACAGCACTGTTTTATAGAAAAGTGTCATACTAAAACTAAGAGAATTACGTAATAGCAAAGGGGTGGACTGACTTGAAGCATCTTAAAAGGGTATTTTTGCTTTCATAAATGCCACAATTTCTTATGATCTGACTCTTGCTTATTTGTCTCTCCTCTCCCTTTCCCGACCCTGTGTTTCAGATTCATCCCAGGACCTAACAGAGAGCTCCTGGTTACAGAACTGCACACCAGGCTCTCACCTCTTTCTACATTTTTTCCCTCCGGTTCAATTGACTAAAACTATTACATCCACGGCTACCACTGGCTTACCTGGGACCGCTGAAAGGATATCCATCCAGATAAAACAGCTTTGCTCACTCGGTGCCAAGGATTTGAAACCGTACTAATCCCCTGTTTGATCAATGAGCCCCACGTCGGGGACTATACTCTTCGCCATGACGGTGGCCGGTTTCCAATCTACGCTCATTCTGTTTCCTCACCCTCTCTTTACCTGAAAGTCTGTTACATCTTAGCGGAGCTCATTTAGAGGTTGTTAAAATATTTGAAGACAATCTCTTGGCCTGCCTGAAGGTGAAACACATTGAGAGGCACACACAGAACTGAACATGGAATTCACACAACTGGAGGCAGAGTAGATACAAATGACCCTCATTTTCGAATATTTCTGTGCAGAAATCATTGTTGTTACTCTCTGATGGAGACGGATGCCATTTCCGGTAATGCAGGATAGTCAAAACTTAAACTGACTGGACTAAGCTGCATACAATGAGATGATAAGAACTTTTCTGGTCTGACTTTATGACCCAAGCTTCACCCTCAGTAAGGGACACCTTGAATTTTTTTTGTTGGGCATGCCCAATGTGGATTCATGAGCACTGCATTTATTTTATGTAAGATCATTTGTGTAAATAAACATAAATACATAACTTTAAGATAACAGATCATAGAGGCTGATATATGTATTCTTCAGATTAAAGCACCCATTGTGAACATCAATCAGTTTCTTAACCTGTTCAGAGGCTGAAGAACTGCTTTACAATTTAAGCTTATTTTGGAAAAAGGCTGAAAATGAATTGTAGGTCCAGGTAACTTTTTGTCATGCTTTTTGGTTAGCACCGACAATGCTTGTAGTTTCTGTGAAGATGAGGAAAAACAATGTATAGAGTTGCCTCACGTACGAAGGCAGAGGTGACACTTTCAACCTTTTGGCCCAGATGCAGGAGGGACTTGGAGCAGCTGTGGATAAAACATAAGCATGATTCTAAGAAAGAGGGGTCATGTAGATCTTTCTCACACACAGAAGAGAGGGAATTTGCTCACACTGACAGAGAGAAAGTATTAGTCCCAATGGAGAAAAATAGCTATCCCCAGTAGATATAAGACAGCCTTATGAGAAATAAAAATTGTTTTGTATACTGAAATTCTGTCTCCCATTTCTCCTCCTCTGTGAATGGTATTGTGAACGATGTGCCTCTTATGACTATTTGATATGTTGTAATATGTGGGTGGAAGATCTTGTCAGAGTTTCATTTATATCATATGATAACATTGTGAGCAGAGTTTTTTGCTCGAGTAAACAAGCAATCAACATCGGCGCAAGGAGAGTATGAAAATGACTTCCGGGCACACAGCACAGTTGGGCCTGCCGCAGCAACAAACGAATCTGCGATGCTTCATTTACACAATTCCCTTGGTGGCGGAGTGGATTTATCAAAAGAGAACATTCAATTCATTCATGCAATTAGAATAAAGATTTTCAATATTGTGGTGGGCAAAATTCCAGATGATTTTCAATATCAGCCTCCCCTTTCGGCTGAGATTAGATTCGTCTCTTCTCCCTGTGGATGCGCTGGTGCGCATTCATCATTTAGGAATATGGCTAGTTTCATGAAGCACAGTGCCTTGCTGAGCAGTCACAGAAGGTATGAAGGAGACAGACGCATCAATCTCCCAACGGCCTTGCCAGACTCATGAAGGAATATGCAAACCATGGGAAAAGAACAACGGGTGTTTTATTTTGCAATAATCTCCCTCCTTGTTTTTATATATTTTCATGTAATCAGTTTAACTTAGAGAAAATGGGCTAAAAGTGCATGTCATGCGTTGAGAAATTGTCTAGCAACAAAAATCAACAAATTTTTTGCCTGAACTCCAATATCATAAGTGCAGGTTTTTTTTTTTTTTTTTTTTTTTTTTTTCTTTTAATATCATTGCAGTAAGAAGGGTATCAAAATGAACCATCACCATCAGGATGCAATTGGTACCTGCAGGTGAGATGTTTGCTCAATCATTAAATTGACCCAGAGCTGATCAGGAGATGCTGTTTTTAAGCGTTTTAAACATTTAGCCTTTTTTGTTCAACCTAAAATATACATTTCAAAATATTAGAGTTTAAGGTTCAAACATGCATTTCAGTCTGTTGATACAAGCCACTTGAACCACAGTTTATTACATATGCCTATTCATATTTTTCAGCCCATTTTTACCATAAAGGTATACAGTTTTTACTGCAGCCTCCTTTTGCGCCATTTTAAATGCTATCCACACAGAAAAATGGAAGAGGAACCAACAGCAAAAACCAAAGTACTATTTTAACAGGCCATTTTCCCTAAGAGATAAATAACCTACACTGGGAAACAAAGATCTTACTTCAATATATTTCTTAAAAACAAGCATTATTCCTAAATCCTTATTTTATTTTACTTGTAATCTGACCGGTTTTCTTCTTCATCCCCTTTTGTTTTGTGTACTCAGATTTGAAGCACATTTGTTCCCTTTGGAACACACAATGGAGGCATTTACAAAAATCTGGAAAACCTGCAGAGAATACAAGCAAACCCCCAGCAGCATGCATAGATTATGAAATGTCAGTCTAAGAGGTGTTACTGTGAACAGTAAAATGGTCTTGGAAGAATGACTTAAAGTAGGTCCTACAGTTTGGAATGTCAACTTTTCTTGCTAATGTTTTTTATTTATTTTTTTTAGATGGAAAAAACGCTGCAAAGTTGGGTCAGGATTTGAACAAAAGACGGCTAACAATTACTTTTTTAGCTGCACAGTTGAAAAGTAGAAGTGATGGAAATGTGATTTCATCACAACTTAGAGTATTTACCAACAACGTCCTTATAGTAAGGAACCCTACCTCTTATTTAATATCATAAAGTTCTTAACTAATAATAATGGAGAAATTCACTTCTGTATCTTAACCCATCCCCTTGGAGAGCAGTGGGCTGCCACTGTGCGGCCAGTCAGGGCTTAAGTGTCTTAATCAGGGACCCAGAGTGCAGGCAGTGTGGGGATCAAAACTTCTCAGAGCACAAGCACATTGCTCTAAGCACCAGGCCAACACTTCCCCAAAAGCCCAATTTTAAACTTAATTTAAATTTAAACAGTTTCTTATCTGTTCTCATCTGTTAACATTTTTGTTTATGTCTGTATTGATTATGGTGTTCATAATTGTGGGTTTGAATAAATGCGGCTAAAATATTTCAAAAATAAATTCTGCAAGTCTTACTGTGAAGATTATCCTCATATTCAATACCAATGTGGGAATCACAAGCTATTTGCCTTAAAGGTGCAGGGGGTTTAAAATTTGAATTGTTTTTTTTTTCCTTTGTTTTTGTTTTTAAATTTCTTTTATAGTCTTATATCCTAAGAAACAGAGTCATGCTGTGGAAAAAGGTACTGCTCCAAATTTGACAGAGCAAAAACAGAACCCAACATTTAAAAAGATGCTGTTGGCCTCATTCCTCTTTACCATGCTGCAATCCTTGAAAATCAAGACATCCATCAAAAATGCTGACTTCCTACCAAAACAGGTAGACAGTCTTGTTCACATGTTGTTGGATAGTTAATATTCAGCTGGAAAGCCTCTTTATATAGTCACTGTTTACAGAAAACGTTGTCAATGCTATTTGTGAAACTCAGAAGATTGCTTTTATTTAAATGTGTAAAAAAAAGTCCATCTACTGTTCCCTGACAGAACTCTTGTCTTTGTGCTTCGTGACATTCCTATTGCTTAATCATTTTAAATAACAGCCTATAATTTGTGAAAAGGGCACACTTCTCACCTGTGAGGGCTTTGAAGCCTATTATTATACTCATTATGGGGCCTGACTCACTGTGAATATATGCTGTACAAAGAACGTCCACTGAAGCTGGACAACTAAGAGCTTTCCAAAATCATTTATAGCACAAAGACTTGGTTTCAGTGATAGCTACTAAGCACTCCCTCAGACAGCTTTGTGCATGAGTTGATTTAATCATATAAATCACTTCATATAGAGGGTAGATGATCTCATAACTAACCAAATAATAAGGAAGATCAGACTATTCAAACTTCTTTTAATAAAAACCTCAGACTAATTGCTGAGTCCATATGTTGTGTACAATCTTAGGCTTGTCTGAGCAATAAATGAAGTAAACAACTAAAACGGCTAAAATACATACCGGTAATCAAAATCGGCCAATTCACTTTGTTATGTTACAACAACAGCTATTTGTATCCCATGCAGGTTATTAGGTGCTGAGAATCTAGTCCATGCATTTGTTACCTCAAGGCTATTGTAATTCTTTACTTTCAGGAAGTTCAAAATGCTGCAGCCACAGTTCTGATGAAAATTTAGAGAGATCATATCTCCTATCCTAGCTTCTCTTCATTGGCTTCCTGTTAAATCCAGAATATAATTTAAAATCCTCCTTGCATATATAACTCCATCTTAAATCGGAGATATGATTGTTCCTAACAGAGCACTTCACTCTCAATCTGCCGGTTTACTAGTGGTCCTAGAATTTCTAAAAGTAGAATAGGGACAGATCTTTTAGTTATCTTTTAGTTATCCTATGGAACCAACTACCAGTTTTAGTCCGTGAGGCAGACACCATTTCTAGTTTTAAGGGTAGGCTTAAAAATGTCCTTTTTGATTAGGGTCATAGTTAGAGTGGCTCAGGTTATCCTGAGTTATGCTGCTATGGGTGTAGACTTCTGGAGGACATAGGGACCCCTATTTCATCATTCTGCTTCATTCTCTCTCTATTCTCCTACTCTGCAGAATTTCTTAGTTTAATCTCAAACGTTCTGCTCTCTCTGCTTTCTCTCATAGTAGCTTTGCCTCGTCTGTTCCTGTTTGGCTGTGTAACCATCCTGGAGAGAAATATCAGCTGTATTGAGGCCATCAACACTTTTGTTTATAAATTTTCGAGATCGGCTTGTTTTTCAGTATAGTCCTGTTTCTCTGACTGTGATTGGCTGGATGTGCTCTCTTCATCCTCTGACATGGGAGCTGGCTCGGAGCTCGTCTGCCTGGCATGTTTGTTCCCTGGACAGGGCCGCCTTTTACAGTTGCTTTTTGTTTCTCTGCTTCTGTCTCCTTGAACCCCAGTCGGCCTCGGCAGATGGTCGCTCACACTGAGCCTGGTTCTGCTGGAGGTTTCATCCTGTTAAAAGGGAGTTTTTCCTCTCCACTGTCGCTACACCGTCTCGCTATGCTTAGCCTGAGGGATTACATTCGAGTCAATGATTCGATGCAATCAACTGGTTTTCCTTAAATAGAAAACTTTGAATCAATTTGACTGTATGATGTGGTGAACTGTAAAGTGCCTTGAGATGACATATGTTGTGAATAGGCGCTATATAGATAAACTGTATTGAGTTTAATTAAGGAGCGTAGGTACTAGCAGTTCACAAAACCATGAAAGTCACAGTAGTGAGTCCTTTTTGTCATTAACAGGCTTACTTTCATTTTTTTTATTTTTATTTTATCATTTTATCATTATGCTTTATCATTAGTAGTCATTTACTGAAAAAACAATATGACCTGATCTAGAGCTTATAGTCACCTTCTGTTTCTAATTATCCATCCCTATCAGAGCAGACTGAGTTTGCTGAAGACATTTTTTTAATAGGTTTTATCGATTTGAGTGATACAGTATGTGAAGATTAGCCATCAAGTACCAATCAACAGACTGATGACCCAGCTGTGAGGTAAAGCTGTTTTCCTGATAGAATTTGATGCAGTGTTTGCATCTGTAAAAGTTGATGCTATTAAGAAAGCAGAAACTTGCTGCTGTGACCATAAGATCCTCTGCTGCAGCAAAGATAGTTATGGCAGATAAAAAAATTAAATAGGCGGTATTTCATTGCAGTGTTGTTAAATGAAGTGCAAACCAGTTCATGATTTTATGGCTACTATTTTGATCTGCCACATGTAGCTCCACCAAAACCTTTTTAATTTATTTAATCTTTTTTTATATATATTATTCACAACATAGCTAAGCTACTTTGTGTCAAAAAAAATTTTAAAGGTCCAAATTATTGAAACCCCCTATTAGTTTTAATTCATCCAAAATAATTAAAAAAGTTATTAAAGCTACAGTGTGTAATAATTACAGGGATATACAGTCAGAAATGTAATATATTATA